ACTCAGAGCTTTAAATCGCAAAGATCTAAGGGACACTGCCACTACCTCCATCGCCCTGATAAGTTGACAAGTCCTATGAGCCTGAAATTTCACCAGCACCCACCCTTCAAAACTGGAACGCAGTAATTGCTCACAATACTGCTTGGCGGCAGAAATAGGCAAGATGGCAGTACTTCCTTAGACGAAACCTTTCACAAGGAGCTCTTCTAGGAGAGCTCGTTATTATTATCATCTATATCATGTACCTGTAATAACGAATGAATAAATGAATTTGAATTTGAATCGTAGACCCTATCTGTGCTCCTTTAGATAATGGTCAAGAGCAAACAAAACAAGTGAAACAATTGACGACACCCGTCAATTGTTTCGAATTCGGGCTGGCCAGTCGGAGCGCATTTGTCACAGTAATGATTTGGCAGAATCGTTTAAAAACAAATTAAATGACATTTCGTCTCTATTTTTGGTTATGTACTCGATGATTTAACATAAAAATAGATAAACTATTGTAAGTGTGATTAATATCAAAGGGTCAAATTATTCAATTAAGCTTTGTTGTATAGCCTACAACGTACTAACAGGAAAATATAAAATGAAAAGAGTTCACGTACCAGTACCTAAAAATGTTCAACGTGAAACCTTTAATTACTAGTAAATATCGTTTTCTATTGGTCCTATGATTGTGATTATTATGCTCTCAAGAATCAATCAAATATCATTGTAGCAGTATCCGACTGGGGCTCCAGGGGCCATTGGTGCCAAATCAACCATTGGACTGTTGAATTACGCTTTGACTCGACGAATTGTACGGGATTCTATACAATAACTTCAAAATATGTTGGGTACACAAAATTTTTATAATTAACATGTGTTAATTTACATTTTGTGATTTATACATAAAGTTTTAAGTTGCACTTTAATAAATTAGGATGAATGCCAAAGAATCCGCATAGTATTATCACTTTCACGGTATTTCTATTAGGATTTTAAAGAAATCTTTAGTAGATGGTAAGCCAGTTGTATTTTTGTGAAAAAGTCGTATCGTATGTTGACATACATTGACACTTTTCAACGAAAATCTGAACAGGAACCGGTGTCTCTAGCTTGTGTTAAGATATACGTAGAAATATAACTATTATAAAATCGCTGTAGTGCCCGTTAAAATAAAAATAAACGAATTTTAATAAAAGAAAGGAAAAACGATATGTGAAACTTATCATTGTCGTTTCATTCAAACTAAAAGTCGGTCAAAGTTATTTGGAAATGTTGGCAATGGTCCGAGGTTGAAGGTGTTATATTCTAAAAGAAAGAGGATACAAATTCGTCTTTCGATTAGCAATTCGATATTGCAGTTATATATAATCAATGATCAACCTTTTTAAACGTCCTACTGCTGGGCACGGCTCTCGTCTCACGAGAGAGTTTAGGCCATAGTCCTCCACACTGGCGCAATGCGGGTTGGGAACTTCACACGTTTTCCGAGGGTTATGAACCTTATTCGACGTGCAGGTTTCATCACGATGTTTTTCTTCGCCGAAAAGCTCACGGACAATTTCAAATTAAATTTCGCAAATATTTATTTGCGAAAATTCTCGTTTCTCGGAATTTTCCGAGAAACTCAGAGTGTCGAGCCCGGATTCTAACCCACTATATCTGCTTGAGAGGTGATACGTCAAACCATCAGGCTACCTCGTCTTTATGCACAAACAAGCAATTTGTTCATTCTGTATCTTGTTTGCTATGCTACGTGTTTCATCTTAATAATTTCGCTTTAATGAATGTTTATGAGAAACATAGAAAAGAAACTATTAATTTTGTTTCAACATTTTAAGATGTCTAATATGTCTAATATGGGTTTAGAAATGGGTGGACCATGGGCAATATTTTTGTTCCGTAGCTCACCTACATCCACCTAGGTCTACTACGAACACACATTGCGATTAGCAGCATCAATTGTAGACAGCAAAAAATGGTCACTCCAATATACGTGTTTAAATGAGCGTTAAGCGCGACCATGGAATACCATCATTATATCAGATAACCACACGGCTTTTATATTGGTATTACTAAATTACGAGAGCTATGATTATGTCACGAACGATAACTAGTGGTCGATGAGAAGCATAATTGGATTTTTTATCCATTTAATTAAGCATTCTAAGAGGTCACGGGCTAAGACAATGGGCGTTTAAAATAACCTTCGATTACAGTTCAAAGAATGGCTTTTGCGGGCATGTGACAAAAATACAGTACGTAAAATTAACTATCATTATAGACCAATTTTCCTTAAAGTCTGTGGACCTACTTAAGCTGATTTAAAATTGCAAGTTATTTTGATTTATATTGACTAATTTCCTACTGTTTTTACATTCTACAAAACCGGAAACATTCTTTTTTGCTACAAAGTGAACAAAGTACCTAAGACTCAATAACTTAATAAGTAAACAAAGTTTTATGAAGGTTATTGTTGAATATAGTATTGCTCTTCATCTAGAAAAATCAAAAAGAATATACAACTGGCACACAGTGTACCTAATTCGTGTGTACGCGCTTTGAGTTAGTACAAAAATATAGGGATCGACTATACTAATCACATTATGGGTTGCCATCTTAGTGGTGGGTGTATAAGGAAATATTATAATTTATGATCCTGTATCTAGAGACACAGAAGGAGGATGCTCAGCATACCGTGGACCGCTATGAAAACCATCAGTTGTATCCTTTTTTTTGTCCCCGGGGAATCTGTTTACAGATGTCCCGGTCTTGCCGGAGACAAGGTCAGAATTTTATGGGATTGGGCTGAACCCTCATGGGGAACCTCCCTTTTTTCACTTTCCGTCATAGCGTGACAGGCCGTGACATCACTATAGCGTTGTATGGCCCGTCGGCGGTCGTCCATCTTCGGACCCTCAGACGTTCTGAAGGAGAATCATGGTAAACTGATGTGTCCTGCAGCAACTTAGGGTCAAGCCAACTGTATGCCTCTCGGTTACTTTGGTCATATTATCCGTCGGCAACCCGGCAATCTTGACAGATTGTGATGGGCTAGGTAGAGGGAAAGATCTCGCGGCAGATATCGTCTTTGGTGCGGTCAAATAACTGTCACTGGTCTTCCTGTTACAACCGCCCTGAGAAAAATTGAAAACCGAATGAAGCGGAAACAGTTCGTACGTAATACCAACAGGGACACAACCTTCAACAATGAAGAACACGACTAAAAAGAAAAGATCAAGTGAGATATTGTCAGGAAAAACAAATGACGATTCATAATTTTATGTTTGATGTACAGTATAATATGAATAAATATCACTACTTATTCCGAGATGCAGCTTGTTACGAGGAGGCCAAGGTTATTACTGTACAAAAGGACAGATATATTTACAAGTGGCACATCCTTTCTTTCATGGTTAATACTACAATACGTCTAATTGTCGTCCTAATAAGTTAACGCTTTTGAGTGTGAAAATATATGGTAGACAAACTTAACCGTTACTAAAGTTAGTCAATGATGTTACTATGAGTCATAAAATCTTGAAAAACTCGCTGCTACATCTTTAATCGTACGCATGGACGTAGAGGTAAGTCTGTGTGCGTCGCAGTTATGACGAACAATCAAGTAGAGGACCAGTTCATTTATTTGTATTTCATCTCGATATCGTCAGAATTCATTATATTTTTTTATTTTTTATGAATAAAACACGTCACGCCATTCAATAATGGGTAAATAGAAAATGACGTCATTTTATTGAATAGTTGACGTTTGCTTTTCTTATGGGTATTGCCAGATTATTAGTATCATTGAATTTAGAGTTTTCAAGACAATTTCGGACATATTTTCTGTGAACTCTAAAAACTAAACTAAACTAAAATTACTAAATATTTCTACTTTTTTATTTGTTGAATATCTTGAATCATGACGTTTTAGTACTATGATTTATTATTGATACAAAGATCGAAAATAAAGAAAAATTCCTTCCGAGACCGAGTCAGCAATCTTACGAATTAATTAGGTGTTTAAACGGCTTTTCTCGCCGTCAGCGTATCTGTGAGCAACTTATGAAGTTACTAGTAGAGCTCCTTGGGAAAGTGTTTATCCAGGGAAGTACTGCCACCTTACCTATTTCTGCCGCCAAGCAGCATTACTGCGTTCCGATTTTGAAGTGTAAGGGTGCTGATGCAATTACAGGCTCATGGGACTTGTCAACTTATATCTCAGGGTGACGGGTGCAGTGGGAGTCCGATCTTTTGACTTCGACTTATGCATCCCGTCACTTGATATTATAAAAAAACTCATATTACTACTTTATCAGTACTTCTTAATCTCAGTGTAGTAAAAGTTAAATTACACATTTGACACCGAAATATGCAAATACTACATAAGTCATGACTCCATCATGAGTTTTCAAACTCTTACTTCGCAATATACATATGTATCCATAAAACGTATGTTATCGTAACCGATATGGGCACGTGAACTCTACATCTGTTTTTTTACATTATGAAGTCGTTTTGCATGTATATTTAATAATAATAATTAATCTAAGTATGTACAAATACTATATATATCTTACAAATAGGTCGGCATAATACTGTACATATAGATAATATGACTAGGAGCAAAAATAAAAATAAACGAACGCTCTTCAGCAAAAAAAAATTGACCCTATGCTTTGCAAATAGAGTATAAGTTTAATTGAATGAAAAAGTCAACAATAATCAGCAAAGTGACTAGGCTGACTGAAGCTAATTCTACTAAAATTAAAACATCCTTTATCAAACTTGTACTACTAGTTATTACATTCAATTTGAAAATCTATTTGTGAACACAGTAAAATAAGAAAGTTTTTTTAAATAGCTCCAACGATAGACTTGTTACTAAGTTTAGTCAATGATTTCACTTTTTTTTTAAATTTCTATGCGTTAACTAGATATCGTTGGCTGTCTGTGTAGAAGATAACGCGCAAATTGGGTTAATTATGTTGAAAATAAAATAGATTACTCACCTTCATATATGGACCTATCATAGAGAGTTTTTATATAAGGTCACTCGAAATAAAATCTCCAAATATTAAACAAAAACCAACAAAAAAATTTTACACTGGTTTTATTCGAAAGCACAGCAAAATATTATCACAGAATTTTTATATGCGACAACGGACAAGCGTGCAACCCGCAATGTCATTAGCACGATTTCACAATTTAGCACATGTTCCAGTAAAATATGAAACAAAATACTATCGGAAAATTAATTTATTTCTTTTTAGGCATTATTATTTTATCAGTAACAGCAATGGCCGAAAGGAACTCTAGTTTCAATTTAAAACGTGCGTTTTTAAAATGCGGCGGGAAAACTAAGAGCTCGCGCGCGCGCGCGAATGTCGTCCGTGTGTTGTCCAAACGGTGACTGGCTGAACCGCGCTAAATCCTACTCTTGTATATTCGCACGCGTTTAAAAAATAAATACCTACTTGGTATGATGATGGAAGGCTTGCGAAGCGTTTCCGAAGAACTGTTATCTAACTTGCGTACCCGATACAAGTCTGGCGGTCTGGCGCCGTGGTTCCCTTTCACGACAGTTCCTTTACAAGACGTGCAAAAAATTGTAACGGAGTACCTATGCTATTTATTATCTGTTCAACATGGATGTTGGTTGACCTAGCACTTCTTATTTTTGTAGTATCATAAAATATACTATTTACTCGTCGTATATGTTTGACGACTCAAAAACAATTTATATCATCAATCTGGACAGCTTGTTAACAAGCGTGTAGCAAATCTATCAAACGGATTTCATTTGGTATCCGAATGAGTGACGGATGCGTACATCCTGTTTGAGAAAAAGTTTTAATCGTTGATACGTCGTTCTATTCCATACTTTTAATTTTTACTTATTTTTATTTTTCTTGTATTGTACGAAATGTACACGTAAATATAAACGCAAAATAAATCGAAACGGTTACTTAGTATACTTAGGACTTACTTGTTCAACCTGTCTTAAACAATTAAATAAATCGTTTATGATATCTACGACTAAAGTTAACATATGTAGTTCGAGAAATTTCTTAAATTACCTAGACTTTAATTACTTTGATAATAATAATAAAAATTAAAGCTAATTAGTAAGAAACATTTACCAAAAAGGAGATAAACTTATTTACTCATAAAATTATCCATACAGTTTTTGAGATAAATTTAAGGTTATTTTAATCTTTTCACAAATAAAATTCAGCATCTGTCTGCTATCGTAGTAAACAATGGGCGTACCTTAATGCAAATTAACCTTGTGGACTGAAGAATGGGTATATACCTACATACAAGTATTTATATGCAGGTATATGTTTAGTATATTTTTCTTGCAGCTGTAGATATAACCCATAAACCTACAAAAGGACTGTTGACACAGTCGTTGGCGCCACATGCATCATAATACCATAGAGTAATGTAAGGTACTAATTAGGTAGAGAGTTTGATGATTTCAATTTCATTGTGAAGCTGTAGAACTCCTTGTGGAAGAGTTCGTCTAGGGAAGTACTGCCACCTTACCTATTTCTGCCGCCAAGCATTAACGTGAGCATTACATCGTTCCGGTTTTGGAGGGTAAGAGTGCTAGTGAATTTACAGGCACTTGTCTACTTATGTCTTAGGGCAACAGACGCAGTGGCAGTGCCCCTCGGATCTTTGCAATGTGAAGCTGACACTGCAACTGCTATGGACAGGCATGTCGCTTGCCATCAGGCGCACAACTTGTTCGTCCCGTCACTTGGTATTATAAAAAAACTTTTAGGTGATGTAGTTAATCGTAATATTTTTTTACTGACAAAAGAATGTACCTATCCTACTCTTTTATTAATTTCTATCACCCCTCACGTCATTGTTTACTCCCTTCATAAACTACAAAATCCATTCATCTTGTTTTCGGTATGCCTTTCTTCTTAAATCGGTCCACATTCATATTTAATATCTTCAATAAATAGAAAATTTTTAAATTTTATTCAAACTACATTTCTGCAAATGACTAAATATCTAAAAATACATTGCATGCACTGCATATACTTAGATAAATATTGTGTTACACCTTCATAATTATTCGTATATTGTAAAATTTTGTTACGTTATATTTATTGTTAGAGGACTTGCAACACATCTGTCTAAGTTCGAAAGTGTAAAGCGTGTAATGTTTAATGTTAATGTTTTTAAGTAATAAATGAACTAAAAATATCGTTAAATTAACATTTCTTACACAAAATGAGTATAAGTTAGGTCTCATTAGTTTGCCAAAACTGCATTAATGATTGCCAATTATCTACTTTAGCACATCCAACAAAAAGCGAAAGCAAACATAACACTTTTTAACCGACTTGAAAAAAAGGATGAGGTTCTCAATTCGTCTGTATGTATGTATGTTACGCGATAACTCCGCCATTTGTGAACCAATTTTGACGATTCTTTTTTGTTGGAAAGAAGGTACCTCAAATGTGGTCCCATTTAAATTTCAAGAAAATATTCCATCTCTAAGGGTGGCAACCTAGGGGATGAATGACTTTTGAGGTCGGTTTTTTAACCGGAGGTTAGGTTATTTACTGTATTATGTTGTAAGTCACTGTGACTTGCTTATCGTTATAATATTTACATTTATGCTTATCATTACTTCTCTCAACGGTTCACGTTAACAGTACCTATTCTATACTTCAGGGAAAAAGAGCGAAAAACACAACATTGTTCAAACGGTTTGGTTCTTAACTATATGTTTGTATACGTTATGAGAATGTAGCACAAATATTACAATGACTTATTTTTTCAAAATTGGCTTCTACATTCTTTCTTCCGCGAAGTTCGTTTACGTGTATCAGCTATAATGTTGCGAAAGGTGGACATTGAAAGATTTAAATCGATGTATATCGTTCCGTTTCAGCAAATGCTGAAAAACAAGACATTTTTCGTTTAATACTTTGTAGGATGAAAGCATGGCTCCTAATTCCTAAAAGGGTCGAACACATATTTAAATACCTAAAACACTTAAATTTCCCTGTTGAAATGAGTTATTTTCTTCCCATGTTGACATACCCATTTCACTGTTTTTCGATATCGAATTCCGATATTTTTAATATTTCTTGTTATTGTCGTAAGATTACGATACCTCTACCATGAGATGATAGATACATTTGTCTCTAACGACTTTGTAAAATGTTTGACTATTTTATATGACAAATTGAACACCGCCCCTAACGGTCACGAGAAAAAGTAAAATTGTATACAAATTTTTAACGGTATCGCTAGTGATAACTGTTAGTGTGAACTCATTTTAAATGCTCTGTTATTCTTCTATAATGTACTGTCCCTTCGACTATCATATAAACTACTCTTCATCAATACAATTTGAAGGTTCTCAATTTAAATTCTAATACCCATTCTCGCTTTGCGAATTTTGTAGGGTCATTATAGAACTGACCTAGGACGGAACTGGTTTCCGACTTCGTAGCTACATAACCAACAACCGCAGAGCTCTACTGCACTATCTGCACTATCCAATTGATACATGCAAATGCATTGGCCCTATAATGTTCCTCAACTTCCTCACGCTAAGCCTGTTCTTTAACTTTACGCTCTTGCTTCCTGGACCATTTACTTCACCTTCGTGTGATGCGCCACAGGAGCAGAAGCCGACGCTCAAGATGATGGAGAACTCCATCTTCGAGTACTACAGGCGACTATAACTGCTGCCTGTAGAGCGCCGGCCTCCGGTCCTGCACTTCTGTCTTTGGGTTCTAACTCGTAAGACAGAGGTCTCCAACACCGTGTCTCCAGCTTCATTTACGGACTACTCCAGTCAACCTACTCTACCACACTTCATCAGTCTTTTCACATCTTTTTATACATATCACTCATTTGGTGCTACATTGACGCAATTGAATTTTGGCAAAATTGAACTCATAATATAAATGTATTGTTTACTTCTCCACCAATATAATTTTGCAGACCGAAAGATTCGGGGAAAACCCTGAAACATGTCCAAATAACCATTATGTTTACCTTTTATTACCTACTACTATTAAGTAGCATTTGAGCTCCTTGTGAAAGAGTTCGTCCAGTAGAGCTGTCACCTTACCTATTTCTGCCGCCAAGCAGTAATGTGAGCGTGTGTTCCTATTTTAAAGGTTAAGAGTGCTGGTGAAATTATAAGCACTTGGGTCTTGTCAACTTATGTCTCTGGGTGACGGGCGCAGTGGCAGTTACTCTGTCACACTAGTGTGAACGTCGTCCAAAAGTATTATCAATTGAAAAGGACCAATAGAACCGAGAAACCGAAGCTAAAATGGCATATTTTGTCCACCAAATTCGACAAGACTAGGAAATTTGATAAAACAAGTACTGAATTATTGTTATAAACATTTTGATGCCGCGATTAGTATGTAATGAGAAATTAATTATTGTTTAATAGATTAGTTCTCAAAAATTGTTAACGTCTCATTTGAACTGATTCATTTTCAGTCAGTTTAGTAGCAGTAGAGCTCCTTGTGAATGAGTTCGTCCAGGGAAGTATCATACCTATTTCTGCCGACAAGCAGTAATGTGAGCATTACTACGTTCCGCCATTGAAGGGTGGGTGTTGGTGAAACTATAGGCATGGGACTTGGCAACTTTATGTCTCAGGGTGACGTGCGCAGTGGCACTGCTCCTCAGATGTTTGCAGTTGAAAGTTGTTTGTAGCACTGCAACTGGCATGGATAGACGCACAGAACAATAAGGTGTGTCGCTTACCACCAGGTGCACGACTTGTTCGTCCCTGCGCTTGATGATATAAAAAAGTCAGAGAATAATCTAATCCAAACCAACAGAAATATTGTGGTATAGATGCGTCGGCAGACTAAAGCACATATTATCAAAAACCAACATCATTCACTTAAATCAATACATCGCCCGCAAAGCACATAGGTCAAATTCATTTGTTTCAACTTAAATTTTAGTGGCGTCTTCACATCTTCTGAGTTTTGACATAATAAACAACACGGAACAACAACAAACTTTGTTTGTTGATATATATATTCTAAATATTGAAGCATTTCTTTACTTGTATGCTTAAGTCTGCTAACCCTATGCGGAAAACAACGACACGGTGATTTGTAACAAAAGTTTAAAACTTAAACGGAATCCGTCTCCAAATTGAAAAGATTGTTGTTCATCTTTGTTGACATTGTATATTTTTTATTTACCCGCCTGCCCTAGAAGGATGAAGGTATTGTTTTTGGTGCGTGGGCAGGTATGTATGGCTAGTTCTTTAGCTCATCGTATAACCTTAACGGCTTGATGGCTCATTATGTATGAGACGTCTC